GAAAGATGCTTCAAATTATCTAGAAAGCACTCTGGCCTGCTTATATGGAATATTTTAGAGTTTATCGATATAGGAAGCCATGCAAATTACAGTACGGTAAGAATGGAACATTTGTATGACCCTTGAACGTCAGGATTTTCAAAAATCCAAGCCTATGGCATTCCTTTTCAAGACCATGGACGAATTTTGCGTGAGTCCAAGAGTAAAAATATTTATTACTTAATAAGAGCTCGGTTTATGTTATTCGGGGGAGAGAGCGCAAATTGTCATACTCGTCAAAAATTCCAATACACAACTAATTTTTGCTGTAAACACGTTCTCGAATTTCAGTTGATCTTTGATTACTGTCATCATTGAATGTGTCTCGCTTTCAGTTCATCTGTTGGCCTAGGGGCTTTAAACAATTCTGAAGGTTCGGGACCCAACTCATAAAATCAATGGAAGATACTCCGTAATCTAATCAGTTCCTGGTCACAATACATATATTGGCAAATAGTTGGATTTGAGTATTTCCTACAGTAACGCTAAAAACGATAGGAACTAAATGCTGTACTTTTTAAAACTGCTTATCAAGAAACAACCCACTATTCACTCATGCATTATTACGAGCCTCCTTCCCAAGATAAGAGTTATGTTCCGAAACTTCCAAACAGATGGAGTTGAATACTGAGTATTATAGAAAATTACCACAAAGCAATCGCGATATTGTATCATCGAAAGGGAGGCTTCTCAGTGGTATCGTTCGGAAACATTACAAACAGATATAAAAAAAGAAGGGAGAAAATTAGTAGGCACACAAACAGTTAGGGTGGGGGGATAGGTAGGAGGGCGAGAGAGGAAAGAGCTGCTATGAAAAAATAAAGTGGCAAACGCGTAAACGGGAGCACAATCAGGCTTTGGAGTGATTGTGGTGGTTGAAGCAAGGTCTTCGGGCGAGCGTTTGCGACGAGGCTTAAATTAGTTCCTCATTGGATTCTTCTTCCGCCAGCTTTTCAAGCTTTTCCAAACGCTCCTCTAGCTTCCGCATTTTCTTCTCCATCTTCTCCATCTTTGCAGTCAATTTCCCGATTGCCTCGGAGTCGCCACCAATACTGGACACTGAGCCGGTACGCGGCTGAGTGGGTGTATTGGCATGCTGTTGGGTACAAAAAAAGTTGGTTTCTTTAAAATTAGGCAATAGTTTCGCTCTTCTTGAGTTTATTTATGTCTGATATGCAAATTCGGCATCGACATCTACCAGCCTGTGCTGAGACAATCCAAAAATCAGCCCTATCAAGCTTAAGCAGTAATTATTGGAGAGTCACTTAGAGATTAGGACCATCAAAACCAATAAAGACCAGCACCTCATCGAGTGGCCATCTTCAGTCAGCAGAACTCTACCCCTAAAATTGAAAGATGGTAGTAACTGCCGTTTACGTTTATGATTTTACCCATTTGTGGCTATCGGTTTGACGTAATAGTCTCTCAGCTATCGCCTTGTTGTACTTTGGAATGGACTGAAATTCTCTGTACGTAACAATTCAAACACTTTCGCTTCGTACGTGACTGCAGCCGTGCTGT